GAGAGAGAGAGAGAGAGAGAGAGAGAGAGAGAGAGAGAGAGAGAGAGGGTCCCAGAGGTGGAACTCAGATCCCCAGGTTCGGCAGCAAGTGCCTTCAGCAAAGCCAGCTTTGCTTCATTCCCCTTGGCAGTCTTTGGGTCCTGTGACTGCCAGACTTCAGTACTGCTGCCCCCTGCTGTCTGATTTTGTTAGTGTTTCTAGCAAATTTTTTGACTCCTGGAAAATTTCAATCTGCCAACTGCAGCCATCATCTGCCTCTGTCTCCTTTTCAGTACAAAGTATGGTGTTGAACAGGACCTCTGCATATGCCAGGCAAATGTCTTACCACTCAGTCATAGCTTCAGCCCTATTTTTTCTTTTCTTTTGGATACAGTGTCTCATGAAGCCCAGGATGGCTTCTGACTCAGTGTGTAGCTGAAGATAACCATCTGATGCTCCTGCTTCTGTCACCCCAGCAGTGGGACAGCAGGCAGGCCTGTGACACCATGCTGCATTTTCATGATGCTGGGGTTAAAATGGGGCTCTGTGTATGCTGGGCCAGTTCTCTGCCAACTGAGCACATCACCAGCCCTCCTTTTTTATCTCTTTAATTTAAAATTTAGTTTTATTATTTTGTAAGTTTTTTTTTTATTCAGTGTTCTGCCTGCATGTGTTCTGCCAGAAGAGGGCACCAAATCTCATTACAGATGGTTGTGAGCCACCATGTGGTTGAACTCAGGACCTTTGGAAGAGCAGGCAAAGCTCTTAACAATTGAGCCATCTCTCCAGCCCTAAGGTTTTATATTTAAAATTACAAAGCCGGGCAATGGTGGTGCACACCTTTAGTCCCAGCATTCAGGAGATAGAAACAGGCATATCTTTGTGAGTTCAAGGCCAGCCTGGTCTACAGGTTGAGTTCCAGGACAGGCTCCAAAGCTACACAGAGAAACCCTGTCTCAAAAAAAATTGTGTAGCCAGGCAGTGGTGGCGCATGCCTTTAATCCCAGCACTCAGGAGGCAGAGGCAAGCAGATCTCTGTGAGTTCAAGGCCAGCCTGGTCTACAATAACTAGTTCCAGGACAGGCTCCAAAGCTACAGAGAAACCCTGTCTTGAAACCCCCCCTCCCGCAAAAAAATTTATGTATGCATTTATGTATACAGAGGCCATTAGAGGGTGTAGGATGCCCTGGAGCTGTAGTTACAGCTTGGGAGCCAACTAATGTGGGTGCCCGGAACTAATCACAGGTCCTCTGCAGAAGCAAACCTCACTCACAAGCACTGAGCCATCACTCTGGCGTACCCCACCCCCAATTTTTAAACCATTTTGAGACAGGATCTCACTATGTAAACCAGGCTGGCCTCAGAGTCACAGAGATCTACCTGTCTCTGCCTCCTGAGCCCTAAATTAAAAGTGTGTACCAATATCCCAGACCTTTAATTATTTTTTTGAGATACGGTATACTTATGTAGCTCAAGGTGGCCTGAAATTTACTAAGTAACCCAGATTGGCCTTGAATTTACAATCCTAGTTCAGGCTCCGTGGTGGATGAGTACAAGCACACTCCATCACATCTGGCTTTAGATACAACCTCTAAGAATGGCTGTGGAAGCTAATGATATGGCTCAGGGTTAGGAGCACTCCCTGCTCTTGCAGAGGATCCAGGTTTGGTTCTCAGCACCTACACACACGGCAGCTCACAATCACCAGGAACTCCAGCTGCAGGGCATCCGATGCCTTTCACATTCCTCTGGAACCAGGTAGGTACATGGTGAATAAACATGCATATGTACAAAAATAAAATACATAAATCATATAGAATATAATATATAAATATATACAAATATTTAAAACAATGACTCGAGGAAAAACGAAACAATGGCTGAAGCTGTCATTCAGTTGGTTACCTAGTAGTTGGTTACCTAGCAAGAACGGGTTTGATCCCAGCATCCCAGGCTATGTGTAGAAACCCTGTCTCAAACAAACAAACAAACAAAGAGTGCTTGCTGCTTTTACAGAAGACCCAAGTTAGGTTTCCAGCACCCAAATATTTGGAGCTCCAGTTCCAGAGGCTCTGACACCCTTTCCTGGCTTCCAGGAGAACACTATGCCACACACAGCACAGGCATAGTTTGGATTTTTTATTGTTTTGGTATTTTTGTTTCTCTATGTATCCCTGACTGTCCTGGAACTCACTTTGTAGACCTAGCTTTTGTAAACCAGGCTGGTCTTGAACGCACAGAGATCTGCTTCCTGTGTCTCTCACACTGAGAGGCATGACACTGTCTTAAATGCATAAGCAGAGGGAAAGAGGCAGTAGCAGACCAGAGACCCAGATTTGAGTCCATCTTCATCACTGAAAAGAGAAACAGTAAGGTCACTAGGTCACACGCCATTATTTAGTGGTGAGGAGATGCTGGGAGTGAGGAAGAAAGTTCCAGCAATCATCTAGTTGTCTGGGAAACATAGGTGGCTTGGAAGAAGGAATGCCAAAGGATTGTATGTCTGTTGTGTGTGCCCAGGTCCTTTACAACAAGCAGAATTTCCAGGAGCAGAGGAACAAGGGGCAAGCTGGGTGTGGTGCTGGGGGCAATGATGAGAATCAGAGAGCCATCCATATGGAAATTCTAAGGTGTCTACTCTCTGGCTCCTTTTCTCAGATGTGGGGATGGAAGCCAAGGGCTCCATTACATTAACCACTTTGGCATTTGTGACTCTGCTGCAGGAAGAGACTTCAGCTGGGCGGTGGTTGTCACACCTTTAATCCCAGCACTCGGGAGGATTCCCCATGTAGGCCAACCTGGTCTGCAGAACTAGTTTCAGGGCAGCCAAAACTACACATGGAAATGCTATCTTTAAACAAAGAAAGAAACTCCAGGACTACTTGGTTTATGATGAAGGCAAAATGGAGAGTTTTATCAGAATGTTTTTAGTTTTACCTATTTTTTAAATTTTTTTCTAGACAAGGTTTCTCTGTGTAGTCCTGGCTATACTGGAACTCACTCTATAGAACAGGTTGGACTTGAAAACAGAATCCAGGGGCTGGAGAGATGGTTCAGTGGTTAAGAGCATTGCCTGCTTTTCCAAAGGTCCTGAGTTCAATTCCCAGCAACCACACGGTGGTTAACAACCATCTGTAATGAGGTATGGTGCCCTCTTCTGGCCTGTAAGCATAATGCAGACAGAATATTGTATACATAATAAATAAATAAATATTTAAAAAGAAAGAAAGAAAGAAAACAGAATCCATTCCTCTTCTGCATACAAGAAATGCATCTCAACCTCAAACACAGACATCATCTCAGAGTAAAAGGTTGGGAAAAAAAATACGCCAATCAAATGGACCTA